GCCACCGCCGCCCCCTCCGCCGCCGCCGCCGCCGCCTCCGCCGCCGCTGCGGCCCCTCGCGCCGCTGCGCGCGCGGCGGCGAGCTCTCCGTTCGCCCGCGCCGCGTCGCGGCCGGCCGCGCGCCGCGCGACGGCCTCCGTTGCGGCGAGGTCTCGCTGCGCCGCGTCCTGCTGCGCAGCCAGGTCGGCCTGCGCGGCCGCGGCCGCCGCCGCCGCGGCACGCTCTGCGGCGCGCTCCGCCGCCTGGCGGTCCCACCAGGCGCGCGCCTGCTGCATCTGCGCGTCGGCCCTGTCGGCGGCCTGCGCGCGGGCGGCGGGCACGAGGGGCGGCGGCACCATTGTAAGGGGCAGGAAGAGGTACGTTTGAGCGGCAGGCTGCGCCGCTTGCGGCGGCGCGAGGATGGACTCGTGGGCGGGCGTTCGCTCGCCACTCCCCTCCATCTGGCTGCATCCCAACAGCTGCTCGGACACTGGCGCGGCTGAGCCCTGTCCGGTGCCAACAACCAACAACATGATGCGCTGCATTGGACCCACCGCCCCCCATCACCACTACTCCTGCAAGCCCGCCGGCACACCCGCCGCTGCCCTTATGTTTCCGCGCGCCCCTCGTACACCACGCGCCCAACTAGGGTTTAGTAAGGGGCCCGCCAATTACTCACCAGCAGGTCCTCCCCGTAAAATCGCTGCATCGACGCCGGCCCGCAGCGCGGGTCGTCGTCACCTATACGCGCCGGCGTGTCGATCTGCAGTGCATCGGGGCGGCTCAGGTCCCACTCGCGGCGAGTGGCCTTGGGCTGCGCCTCGGCGCGGAAGGCGGAGACTTCCTTGTCCCACGCGGCGCGCGCGGCGGCGGCGGCGGCCGCGGCGGCGCCGAGGGTGGAGGTAAAGCCGTGGGATAGGCAAGCACGGGCGCTGGCGTGTGGTGGCGGGGTGGGAGGTTGGGAGGGGCGAAGGGGCAGGGTGGGCAGGGGATGGTGTGAGGGGTGGGCTGCGCAGCCTGAGTGTTCATGGCGCCGTGCTGGACGGCGGCCCCCTTGCGGGCACATGATGATGGTGCTGCTTCAGGCAATAAATCAATTATGACGAATTATCTGTTTCCAATTGACGTGTCAAACAAGCACAGAAGGTCCCACCTCTTCCCGTCGTGCGCGCCCGCACCCCAGGGACCGCGCATTTGCTGCACCGCTTCACCAAGCGAAAGCCCACCTGTCCTCTGCCTGCCGCGCTGCATGAGCGTCCGCCTTCTCCTTAACTTGAGCGTCCAGGGCTTGAACGTCCACCCTGACGCCCCAAAACGGTGCGTGCAAGTCAGCTCACGAAGCCATGTCAAGCTGCGACTTTCACCTGGACGTGCCGTGTCCCGGATTCCTCACCCTATAAGCCTGTACTTGGCGTTTAAAACGGTCTCGAGCCGGCGTGGGTCGTGGTTCGGCACGCCGGAGCCCACAAACCGCCCCATGATGTGAGTAGAGTAGAGTCAGTGACACGCTATAAAGGCTTGTGATGTGCTCAGATATAAAATTTGAAATAATGATGTCGATAAAATGCGTGCATCTAATTGTGAGCGCCACGCAGGCTGCCACATGCGTGCAACCAATGAACCAAGGGCCTCCTTCGCAGGCTGGCGAGCTTCCAGTTCTCTTGACCTGGTGTTAAAGGGGCTCGGGCTGGGCATGCCGACACCATCGGCATGCCATACAGGTCTAGGAGTCATGGCAGCTGTGCAGCCTTCGTTTTGCCCTTCCTGTCGTCGTAGCAAGCGGCTGGGCTGCGCCATGCAGCGGATGCTGTTTGCGCTGCGGGCGCTTCCCACGCTTGCCCGACTGTGCCTTGCTGCTGTTGTGAGCATTCCTGCTTTGCGGGCGCACTTCACCAGCATGCTCGGGCTGCAGCCGTACCCATTTCACACTCGAGTGAGGACGCCGATGGCGCAGCAGGAGGCAGGCAGGACAGGTGAGCGACTGTGCTGTACACGATATCCAGCCGTGCCTGCCGTGGCGGGTGCCGTTAAAACCACAGCATCTCAGGGCAAGTGGGTAGGTTGAGCTTTGCTCGCCACTGCGGCGCCTAGGCTCGCGTCACCTTGTCAGCTGGGTGCGCTTCCCACCTGGCTGCGAGCGGCAAGCCGAGCAGTGGGAGGGGGTGGGCCAGGGTTCCGAAGCGGTGGCCACCCTTGTCCCTGCGTTTCATTCACTGTTGTTGTGGTGCAACATTTGTTCTACAAGGGCGCGCTGGCGCTCGCTGCGTTGTCCTCAGAATCTGTAGTCGCCGATAGGAGTCATGAGGTCCATCAAGGGCCTCTTCTCTCGCAACGAGCATGCGACCGCTTCTCAACGTGAAGGATGGGCCGGCCGGGAGGCTGCCGCGGAGGGCCCTCAGGAAGCCTCCGAGGCCACGACCAGCAGCAGGCGCGTGCGCTTTGACACATGGGCCGTATGCGGGATTCGATGGTTTCTGAGGTCATGTTTGGGCCCAGCGCGGTCGGGGCACGGCTGTTTGGTTCCTCAGCCGTGTTGTTCGGTGCTTGGGAGCCAGTGCTCATATGCCTGGGCTACTTGAGCTGTTTTATGGAATGCAATCAACATCCAGGTTTCGTACCAGGCGCGGTTTGGCAGTGCCCGCCGCACGCCTGGGACGCGGCGCCACGGCGATGCGACGCAGCGGAGCGCGCGCTCACGCTACCGCTGGCCGCGCTCTGCCGCTTGCGCCCCTTCGTTGTTGCACCGCGCGTAGGCGCCCTGAAGACAAGGACAAGCCGGCGGCCCCGCAGGGCCCGGCGTCCTTCTACTGCCCCATTTCGATGGAGCTTATGTCTGACCCTGTAATGGTGGCGACTGGCCACACCTACGACCGCAGCTGCATAGAAAAATGGCTAGCGCAGGGCAACCGGACGTGCCCGGTGACGGGCATGCGGCTGCGGCACTTGGAGCTGACGCCAAACCATGCGCTGCGCAACGCGATACAGGTTAGCGGCGCGGCGGCGGGGGGCGACGGCGGCAGCGAACCACGATGCGTGTGCCAGCAGCTGGGACGCCGGCCGCCGCCAGGCGTTGCCGGCATGAGGTTTTCATTTTCTTTTCCATTTTTCCTATGCGCCCATGCGTGGCCGCGCTTGGTGCAGCTGCGTGGCAAGTGCAGTGCCGGTTTAGCGGTTGGGCCTCAACCTGTGCCGCTTGCATCTGCGAGTGCTGCAAATCACTTGCTCTTGTTCTTTGTCTCGATCGCAGGAGTGGGCCAATGTCAACAGCATCCAGCTGGCCAATGGTGGCAACAAGGCCACCACCACTTTCAAGGCGGAGGAGGAGCAGCGCAACATTTTGCAGGTGCGCGCGATGTTAAGGGCAGCAGCGTTCTCACCCTGCACGGCCTCGTTTGCTAGTCCTGGCCTTGGCGGCGCCAGGAGCAGCAGCAGCACCAGCAACAGTGCATGGCGGCACTTGACAGCAGCGGCGCTGGCAACTTGACTGCGCGTGGCCCTGATCGCCGGCGGCATCCCAGGAGATCATCATCGTTCACCAGCAGCAGCTGCAGCACCAGTGGCAGCTGCACCTGCAGCAGCTGAAGCAGCAGCGGCAGCTGCACCAGCGGCAGCTGCACCAGCGGCAGCTGCACCAGCGGCAGCTGCACCAGCGGCAGCTGCACCAGCGGCAGCTGCACCAGCGGCAGCTGCACCAGCGGCAGCTGCACCAGCGGCAGCTGCACCAGCGGCCGCGCAGCAGCCCAACTGAGCGGCAGGGCGCTTGCTCTGCTCTGGTACCCCTGTCGCAGCTGCCGCCCGGCTTGCCGCCGCGCCCTCGGCCTGCCCCACTCACCCCCCGTCCTCGCCCCTCGCCGTGCCACTCCTCGCGCCCGCCAGGGTCATGAAGAGATCGTGTGGGCGGTTGAGGTCTTTGGGCGGCGGCTGTTCAGCGCGAGCGCCGACAAGACCATCCGGGTGTGGGACATTGACAGCCGCCGCTGCGAGCACGTGCTTGAGGACCACACGCGGCCGGTGCTGTCGCTGGTGATCAGCGAGGGCAGGCTGTACAGCGGCAGCTACGACTACACCATCAAGGTGTGGGACGTGGCCACCCTCACGCGCCTCAAGACGCTGACCGGCCACACAGACGCCGTCCGCGCGCTCGCCGTGAGCGAAGGGCGCCTGTTCAGCGGCAGCTACGACGGCACGGTGCGCGTGTGGGACGAGGCGTCGCTGCACTGCCTGGAGATCCTCAAGGGCCACACGGGCCCCGTGCGCACGCTCGTCCACGCGGCGGGCTGCATGTTCAGCGGCAGCTACGACAAGAGCGTGCGCGTGTGGGACGTGGAGACGCTCGAGTGCAAGGCGACGCTCACCGGGCACACAGGCGCGGTGCGCGCGCTCGTTGCGTCGCCGGACCACGTGTTCAGCGGCAGCGACGACACGACGGTCAAGGTCTGGGACGCGCGGACGCTCAAGTGCGTGCGCACGCTGGAGGGCCATGAGGACAATGTGCGCGTGCTGGCGGTCAGCGAGCGGCTCATGTTCAGCGGCAGCTGGGACAAGACGATCCGCGTGTGGGACCTGCGGACGCTTGATTGCGTCAAGGTGCTGGAGGGGCACACCGAGGCCGTGCTCGCGCTGGCTGTCGGCGCGGGCTGCCTCGTCAGCGGCAGTTACGACACGACCGTGCGGTTCTGGGACCTCAACACGTTCCGCTGCACGCGGAAGTGCGACGGGCACGACGACGCGGTGCGGGTGCTGGCGGCGCACGGGGGGCACGTGTTCAGCGGCAGCTATGATGGCACCATCGGCGTGTGGTGACGCAGCCCCCACCCTTGCGCACGACGCGCATGTCGCGCCCGCCGCTGCGCCGAGATGGGCGTTGCGGCGGGCCGCAGGCGGCGAGGCACGCGCGCGGCATGCACGCCGTGCGTGCGTTTGACGCCGGCAGAGGGCTTGCGGCGCGCACGCAGCGCGCCGCGGGTGCCTCGTCCGGAGTGTGCCATACGTGACGTGCAGAGGGGGCCCCGACCGGCGTGAATGTGCGTGTGGCGCGCGCGCTGCGGATGGCGCGCGCTGCCTGCGGGCCTCTGCGGCGGCCCTGTCTGCATTTGGCCGCGCCCCGCCAGGCCCCACCTGCTGGTCTCGGCGGCGCGCGCCGCGGCAGGCGACGGCGCCCTGACAGCATCCCTGGGGTGGCGCATCCCGGCACCCTGCCGGGGTCCGGCACCTTGCCCGGCGGCGCCCCAGGTTGTGCCTTTGATTGTTTGGGAGGGCGCCAGTGCATCTGGCGGGCTTGACACGGCGCCGCCTGCTGACTTTGACTTGACGGGCCCCTCGCGCCCCCTGCTTTTGAGGCATCACGCCCAGCCGCCCGCCGGGAGGCCTCTCTTTTCCAGCTTCAAGGGAGGCGCCCCGCCGCCACCCTCGCCCCTGGCCGATGCGCCTCACGCCCCTCCCCCCTTTCTGTACAGCCTTGACATGCACACGCCCCCGCCGCTGACGCCGGCGCGGCCCACGCCGCCGCGCTGGCAACCGTCCCGGGGCTGCACCGCTGACGCTGCCGCGCCGTCTGTTTGTGCGCGCAGAGGCACGGGCGGGGAACTTTGGGGATCTGTCGCTGCCGCAAGGCTCCGCCGCGTGCGGCCTTTGTCGTCTCTCTTTTTTCCTGGTTGATCTACTTCTCTGTGCGGCATCCCCGAAAGCTGACATTGTTGAACCCCCCTGCCCCTGCGTTCCCGGCAGCATGAGCACTGGGCCCCCTCACCCGCCACCATCCCCCCCGCCTTGATGCTCAGAGTGGGCTTGCAGCCAGAAGGCAGGGGCCAACGCCCCCACCCCCCCGCCATCGGCTCACAGTGGCTTGTCACCTTGCCACCGCGCCCGCCCTCGCGCACAGCACCTGTACTCGCTTGCTTCACTAACAGTGCCCCTGGCTGCCCCTCTCGAGCGGTCTGAGCCCGGCAGGCGACGCAACAAGCGGTCGGGCCCTGCCTGCACGCAGCCGCGCCGCTCCATGCTTCGCCCCTGGTCCTCACGCGGTTGATTTGCGAACACTTAACGGCGCTCCCAACGCGTTTGGGGGCTCCAGTAGTGGGCCTCCTGTGGCGTTCCCGTGTAACTGCTGTGCAGCTGCAACCTTGTGAACGGCGAGGCGGGCCAGAGTTAGCCAGGAGATGCAGCCTGCTCGGTGTCCGTCCGTGGCCCAGCACAGCCCCCTGGCCTGCCCCCAGCTAAGTGTCTGTTTGCTACATGGTCGGCGATCAGCAGACTGTTTTGTGCGAAGTGGTTTACAGTCATGGATTTGGACGATTTCCTGCAGCCCTGTGATAAAAGCTCTACAAATGCAAGGGAGACGGATGGCAGGGGAGCCAGCACTGTGAGTAATGTCACTAGCTGCGTGTCCCGCCTCTACGCACCCTGCATAAGCGAAGGGAGGAGGGCGGGCCAGCAAAAGCGTCAACCACAGTGCAAGGCGAGCATGCGGCGAGAAGCATGCTCGCCGATTGGTGATGAGTGAGCCGCAACTTCTCTCGACATCGGGCCGAGCAATGCCCTAGAAAACCGGCGGCACTGTGAACCCAAGTGCAGCAGCCTTTCTTGCGCGCGCCGCGCTTCAACAGCGGCAATGCATGCGTTTCTGCGAGAGGGTCGCCGCCGCGCAGTATCTCACGCGCGAAGCCGGGTGGTGAGGCGACGCAGTCGGGGCAAGCAGGGGTGCCGCTGCGCCCCCATGTCGGGGGGTTGGCTCCCGGTGTCGTGTGGAGCAGATATTGTTGGGGGGAGCGGAGGCGGAGGTCGCGCACGGCGTTGCCGCGGTGCCATGAAGCTCAACAGAGTGAGTGGCGCCCGCCGCAGGTGGCGCCAACAGTCCTGGGCGGTGCACAGCTAGCAAACGGCCTGCTTGGAGGCCAAGACGAGACAGCAGCTGCACGTGCCACGGACGCGCCCTCGTCGCACGTTGAGATGCGCGACGCGCGCTGGGGGTTTGATTGGTATTTCGGATGACATGCATGCTGGCGCGACAGGGTAAGCCCTGCGCGCCTGCAGCAGCCCTGTGCAAAGGGCGACCAAGATGATGAAGCCGGCAACGGCATGCATGGGCGGATTTGATGTCAACATCAACATCAGATGACAAGGCATTGCAGCTTCCTGTGGATTTGAATGTCACCAAACAGCATCAAGGCGGGGGGCAGCCGCACGAGTGGCGCGGCACCCGCCCTGTGCAGTCACGACAGGCGTGCTGCGCAGACGTCGGCGATCGGGCCGGCGGCGATTAGCAACCTATTGGCAGGAGCGCGCGGCACGGCAGCCAGGCAGCTGCCGACATAAAAAAATGTGTGATGAGGATGGTGCGTGCGATGACTAGTAGTGGGTGCGTCCAACACTCAACACGCCAGCAGTGCAGCCCCTGACGATTGCCAGCCACTCCGGGCAGGGCGCCCCTGCTACGTCGACAGACGTGCATGGGCCACAAGTGTCGTATCGTCACGCCCCTGGATGCATCCTGGCTCCCTCAAGGGCTCTGGTCGAGCCCAAACACGCCCCCCTCTCGTAAACGGCGGCTCTGAGCCGTGAAATCCTGGCCGCGGTATCGGCGCATGGCCTACGCGGCGTAAGCCCAGCGAGCTTGCGCGCCCCTGCCCACAGAACGGCAGCGACGCAACAGCCGCCGCATTTGATTTTATACGCAGCGGCACAGCCCTGCGTACAGGCGCCGGCGGTCAACGCGCTTGGCGCGGGGCGCCGCTCCGCTCCCTCCTCTTGTCACGCGCCGGCGCGGTCGCCGGCGGGGCGCTTCAAGCACACGCAGCCCTCTCCTCGATGTGCGCCCAGAGGCCGTCTTTCATGGGCATGCTCACACTCAGCTCGTACTGCACGGGACGCCCCGCGGCCGGCCGCAGGCGGAAGCGGCGCAGCAGCAGGACCTGCGCGCGCGAGGGGCGGGCCGCGGGGACGGGCGGGCCGGCGCGATGGTGCGTTGTGTGGTGCTGGGCTGTGTGGTGTGATGGGATGATGTGCGGTGTGCTGGGTTGTGAGGTGCTGGGTTGTGTCGTGTGACGTGGTGCAGTGTGGTGTAGTGGGGGTTGGTGCGGCACGCCAAACAAAAGCCAACAACAAAAGGCACAGTAAGCAGGTTGGCGGTTTGGGGTCACCCCGTCGAGCTGTTCGGCAGCACGCAGCATGCGCCTCCCCTCAAAGTTGTGGCATCCCACCCACTTTCCCCCAGGACGCGCCCCCCGCCTCCGGCTGTGCCTGCCAATTCCAGGCGGATTCCTCCTACCCACCACACTACACCACACAACAATCCACAACAGCAGCCACACGCACGCACATGTGGCGCATACACACACACAAACAAAACGCAACACACACACACACACACACACATATGGGCCCGCCACATCGACCGCACTCCAAGCCACGCACGTGTACCCGACATTCGCAAGTTGTGGACCACCTGTGTCTCATGCCCCACAAAAAGAATTGGTCATCTGCCCCTCACACAGAAGCCCACCAGGACGTACACGCCCTCCAGCTCGGCCAGCCGCTGCCCCAGGCAGATCCTGGGGCCGGCGTTGAAGCTGGGGAAGCTGTAGGCTGAGGGCGTGTGGGCCAGCTCCTCCCACCGCTCGGGCCTGGGGTTCAAGGGATGGCCGCGGTGCAGGAGGGGCCGGGGCAGGGTTGGACGGGGTCGAATGGGACGGGGCAGGAGGCCAGGCAGGAGTGGTGCAGGAGGAGAGGGAACGGCTGACGATCAAAGGATGAGCTGGAGGGAAGGAAGGTGTCACGACGGCACGAGCGATCTCCTGGCCGGCCTGGAGCCGCGCTCGGCCCCAGATCCAATGGCCGCTGGACTTCCAGATCACAGGAAATCGCATGCACCCTAAAATCACCTGAACTCGTCCGCATCGGGCCCCCAGAACTCCCTCATGCGGTTGATGGCGAAAGGGCTGTAGAGGATCATAGCGCCGGCCGGCACTCGCGTGCCGCCGGGCAGCACGTCGGCGCGCAGGGCAAACTTGGCGTTCTGTGGGAGCACAACAGCCACGGTGGGGGCGGGCATGGATGAGAGGAGGCGTTTGGGCGTATGAGCAGCCACAATAGGGTGGGGGGGGGCGGTTCTTGGGCCGTCCTGAGGGGGGGAGGGCGTTTGGTCAAGGGCTGCCGGGGTTGCCGGACAGCGTGCCCAAGGGGCAAGCGGCAATGCCGGGCGCCACTGTCGAGTAGCTTGGTTGGCGCTTGACCTACGCTGCTGGCTGTGTGCGGAGACGTGCCTGCAGGGCATCACTTCACGCTCCTCTGCCTCTCGCAGCTGCACCATCAAAACACGCACGCACCAGATCACACGCGCCACACACACACACACACACACACACACACACACAAACATACACGTGCCCACGCCTGCACATCAGTTCCCACAACCAGCCCCAGCCACAGACGGTCACCTCAGGCACCGACGGGTGCAGCCGCAGCCCCTCCAGAAACACAGCCCGCGCGTACTTCAGCGCGTGAAGCTGATCATAGGTCGGCTTGCCGCCGCCGCCCCCACCGCCGCCGCTGCTGTACGCGTCCGAGCGGTCGCCCTGCTGCTGCGTGCGTGCGTGCCGCTGCGCGTCGGCGCTGGTGGGGCCGAGCACGGCCTCCGCCTCTGACAGGATCTTGGACTCTACATCGGGGCGGTTCATGACGTGGTGGAGCGTCCAGGACAGGGCCTGGAGGGGGAGACAAGTGATGGGGCAGATGCAGGGAGGGTGGGGGTGGCGGGGTCTGCACAGGCAGGTGCGGGGGACGGAAACAATGGGTGGCGAAGCCAGGCGCAACGATGGGGAGCAGGCCGGGGTGTTTGTGGGCCGAGGGGCGAAAGGGGGGGAGCGCCGCGACGCCCGGTCGCTCGGCTGAGAGGGGGCGAGGGCAGACCCCGGTACAAGGCGGCGGCCCGGCGGGCATTCCCTGCGGAGCCCCTGCGCCCCCGCGAGCACCTGCGCGGTGGTGTCGCGGCCGGCGATGATGAAATTCAGCACCGTGTCCACCAGCGCCTCGTCACCCAGGGGGGCGCCGTCGGGGCCGTCCTCCGTCATGAAGAGGCCCAGCAGGTCGGACGACGCCTCGTCCTGCGCCGGGCGGCGCCCATCGGCCCCTTCCTCGTCCCCGCCCCGCTGCTGTTGCTGCCACTGCTCGACCTGGCTGCCGACCGAGGGCCCCTTCCCCAGAGCTTCCGCAGTGTCGATGCCGCCAAAACCGCCGCCGCCAAGCGGCGCCTGGTCGCCGTGGGCGAAGCTGTCTGGCGCTGATGCGGACGACGAGGCCGGCGACGACGGCGGCTCCGCACCTCCGGGCCCATCGCAGCAGCTCGCGGCCGGGGTCGCGGCGCCGCAGCAGGCGTGCGGTGTGTGCATGAGCTCGCGGCGCGCGGCGATGATGCCGGCGGCAAAGGTGCGGATTGTGGCAATGTCGCGGCGCAGCTGGCGGCCGCGGCCGTCCTGTGGTGGTTTGCATTGCGTCACAACGAAGTTTCATATGTGTGTATGTGCGTGTGTGCATGTGTAGGCTACAAGTGCGTGTGTGTGTGTGTGTGTGTGTGTGTGTGTGTGTGTGTGTGTGTGTGTGCTTGCCACCAATTAGGCGTTTGTGAAGGAAGGCCAGGGTCGGCCTTGAGTTGTGGGCTGGAGCGCGCACAGGACTGGGGCGACAGCGTGGGGGAGCAGTGACAGTTTCGGGGCCGCCGCAGGACCAGCGAAGGCAGAGTGCGGCCGGTTGGAGGCCGGCGCGGCCGGGGGGGCCGAGCGAAGGTTCCCGCTGCCCGAGCGGGCGCGCCGAGTGGGGGGCTTGTGGTGTGCGCACCAGGAACTCCAGCAGGGGCCAGCAGGGCACCCAGAAGCGCGCGTTGGTGGTGCGCTGGGCGCGGTCAAAGGCGACCGCAAAAGGCAGGCGGCCGGCGGTGGTGAGGCAGCCGGGGTCGGTGCCAAAGCCTGCGGCAGTGGTGATGATGGCAGGGTGATTGAGGGGCCGGTTGAGAGGCGGGTTGAGGGGCGCAAAGACGGGGATCAGGCTTGGAGGAGGGCGCTGGAGGGGGGCTTTTTCGGCCTTTGTGGAAAGGATGAGATGTTGCTGCGTCCGCAGTGTGTGCTGATACGGGCGTCCTGCGCTAGGGCACCAGCGCCGGGCGGGCCGCGCTCGCGCTCGCGCTCGCGCCTGACCAGCGGACAAAACAGCGGGCGCACGCGTGTGTGATGACACGCGCTGCCAGCGCTCGAGACGGCGCGCGGCTCCTGCGCACCTATGCGCGAGAACGTGTCTAGAGTGAAGCGGTACATCAGATCATGAAGGTCCACGGGCTCCCCAGGCGCAACACCAAGCATCCCGGCGTCGCCGCCGCCGCCGCTGCTGGGGCAGGCGGCCGCGAGGCGGCGGAGCAGCAGGTCTGCCTTGGCGCTGAAGACCTCCCCGACATACTGCTTGAAGCTGGGGGGGCAGGGAGGTTTTGCGGCGGTTTTGTGAGGGCAGAGTGGGGGAGGGGCCAACCTGGAAGGCATGGGAGGAGGAGAGAGAAAAGAGGCCTGTGAATGCACTGCTGCTTGTGCCGCCCTACGCGTGCCACTCACGCGAGGATCAGGCACAGGCGCCGAGGGGCGACAGAGACTAGGGACGGGCGCGTGTGCGTGCGCAGGCGCGCCAACAAATAGAGGAGGCGGGGTTTTGTGCAGCCCGTCACACGTTAGCCCCCAACCTCGCGGCCCGCGGCGCGGGCGCGCGCCAGTGCTGGCCCTCACCTCACCTCTTCACGGAGAAGATGCGCGTCGCGAGCTTGCGCTGCCACCGCCACTCCTCCCCATCCACTGCAAAGATGCCCCTGGCCGCAAGCGCCGTGGGGGGCAGGCGAGGAGCACATAGGGCTTGAGCCGTGGCGAATGAGTGGGCGTGCGGCGCATGACACAGGCGGCCGCGGCGCTGCGGCGGCTGCACGGTTTCACATGGGGCTGCTCGAGCGACGACACGCCTGCATGTCATGCATGCGCCGGCGCGCTCACCTCCCCAAAAGGGGCCCAAAGTTGGCCCTGCGGCGGGAGACGGCGGGGGTGACAATCATGGCGGTCAATTAGGCGCAGTGAATATCGATCCTGGTCACTCACCAGATTCCTGGTGCTCCAGCGTCCAAGACCACAATCGCCATCACTGCAGGTGCGACCTTCAATTTACTTCGTCAACCTCTGCACACAGGCACAGACTACGCAAGCAAATCCCGGCTCCCACACCCCGACCCACGGCCCGCGTCCGCCGAGACCACGCATGCCCCGCACGACGCGCGCGCGCCTGCGCAGCCGCAACTCACTCGACCACCTCGCCCTTCACGTAGTTGGTCATCCGCCCCTTGAGCACCCACTCCAGCGCGGCTGGGTCGGTGACGCAGTAGAAGGTGCGCAGGAACGGCACGCTGAACGCAAACGTGGCGCCGCCGCGCCCGACGCCGCGCTGCTGCTCCACCACCCAGTCATGGATGCGGTGGAGGTTTGGCAGCACCTTGTTTGGGGGGTGGGGGGTGGAGGCGAAAGGG